ATTTGCAAATGGAATTAAATTCCACATACATTTTCAGAGGAATAAAAATAATACAGACATGGCATCCAGTCACTAGTGGGATTCCGTAGGGCTCCATCCTCAGCCCAGCTCTCTTTAGCATCTTCATTAACAACTTGGATAAAGGATTTGAAGGAATACTAAGTAAGTTTGTGGCAACACTCAATTGGGAGGAGCTGCTGACTCTCTCAAGGGCAGACAGGCCCTGCAGAAAGACCTAGATAAATCAGTGAGATGGGCAACCATCAACCACATGAGGTTTAACAAGGTCAAGTGCTGGATTCTGCACCAGGGACGGAGCAAGCCTGGGTTTGTCTCTAGATCAGGGAACAAGACACAGGAGAGCAGCACTGCAGGAAGGGACCTGGGGGTTCTGGACAACAGCAACTTGAACAAGAGTCATTAAGCTATTAGAGAGTATCCAAAGGAGGGCCACAGGGATGGTGAAGGGTCCTGATGGGAAGCCACATGGGGAGCAGCTGAGGTCTGCTTTGTCTGCTCAGCCTGAAGGAGACCCCATTGCAATCTTACAACTTCCTCATGAAGGAGATGCAGGTACAGATCTCCTCACTCTCATGACAGGACTTGAGGAAATGGCGTGAAGCTGCATCAAGGAGGGTTTAGGTTTGATATCAGGAAAAATATTTTCCTTGCACATGAACAGGCTCCCCAAGGAGTGGTCATAGCACCAAGCCTGACAGAGTTCAAGAAGAATTTGGATAACACTCTCAGGCACATGGTGTGACTCTTGGAATGTCTTGCACAGGGCCTGGAGTTGAATCCTAATGGGTCCCTTCCAACTCAGCATATTCCATATTCAATGACTAAGATCTATGGAATAACCTCTTCCCAAACAAAACTATAAACATACATGACTTTTATGATTACAGATATGTCTTACCTTAAATATATCTCTTTTGAAGCTATAAATTCAGGTACTTACATGGTTGCAAAAATCTTAGGATTCAGATTGGCAACAGGAATGACAATTCAAGAATTGACAATACAACTAAGAGCAATACACTAACAGAAAAATAAATTTTCATTAAGATTTCACTCTAAACAACAGGTCTTGCAATTTTTCAGTCTTTTCCTATTTTTACAAAGAGCATTTACAAAAGTACTAGTTAGCAGACCATACTGCCTGAGAATAGAATGTGACTTTGTTTCATACTTGAGCATTACCTAGTGAATTAAAACCTATTTTTTTTTAATGTAAAAGCAGCAATATTATGAGACTCCCTTAGAGATACAAATACTGGTGTATCAGATAATATCTATGCCCTTGTACAATAAAGCATGAATCCAACACTGCTTTCATTGCATTACCACCATGGCAGTGTTGCAGCATTTCTGAAATTATACTTTTGTCCACGTCACTATGTCAACAGACATGCCAGTCTGCTTAAACAGCTAAAATTGAATGAAATGGCTCAACCAGCTCACTTCACCTTTTGCTACTGTAATCAGAATTATACTCTTTATTTCACAAAATAACAGAATATAGCAGGCAGATCTTGGGGCTTTGATTCCTTGTCTTTCAAGCTCTTATTATGCAAAGATGTAGGACATCAAGACAGAATTTGTATAGCCTTACCAAATAAAACAAGATTTCTTCCTCAAAAGACATAAAGAAGTTGTCAAATGTTATTGCCAGCACAGTCCATTCTAGAAGCTGATCCTTTCATTACTTTTAATTAAAAAGTCTGGCTTTTTCCTCCCCCAACCACAAGCCACTTTAATTTTATAGATTGTACCAGTAAACCTTTACAAATTAATTGTTGAGTACTGGCTTACATAAAAGCCTTCAAAGGTAACACTGGCAATCCCTGTCATCCACACACCTCACTGAGTGCAGTTCCTCCACAAGATGGGGCAGAAAGCACAGGTGGGTGCCTTCAGGACCACTCTCCTTAGCTGCTGGTGGACACAAGGATACAGCAGTGCCAGATGTTTGACTTTCTGAACATCTGCATAAGCCACTGCCACATACCAATCAAACCCCCTTCGCTCAGCAGGTGACATTTGGAGTCTGTTCTGACCCTGACTCCCAATTACCTGCACAGCTTGGGCACACAGCTATAAACACACTAAGAGTTGTGCAAAGTTAATCATGCTGGAGGTGGAGCAGCCCATCCAGCCATAATAGGCTGCTACCATGGAGGCAACAAGGCAGCAGAGCACCTTTCCTGGAGGCAAGGCACACACATTAAACCCAGTGAGAAAGGGTTATTCCCACCCAGACCAACTCCAGTGAAGAAAAGCATCACACTGCCTGTAAGCCAAACAATAAGGACATCCCATTGTCTCAGACAGTATGCTAGAAGTTGTTTTCACTATTTCTTTTTCCTCAAAGAAAAATGTCATTGTAAATGTAAGTGATTACACTTTGTTTTAAATTTCAGCTCTCAAGAAATAGCCTGAGAATCACTGTCAGAGTAATTCTGACAATGAGTGCTTAGGTCCAACACGTTTGAAGAGAGAGAATTACACTTTTCTGCTTTTCTAAAAAGGAAAAAAAACCCCAAAAAACAATGCAGAGATGCAGTAAGAAGCTCATGAAGCTTAATAGCGAACATTACTAAAGGTACAAAACATTAAAAAAAATTTAAAAGTTCAAAAAGGAAATAAATGGGATAGACAAGTAACACTGCTTTTGCAGACTCCAGTGAATTGTTTTCTCTAACAAAGTCAAATTAGAAACACTTCTATTATGCAAACTGACATTAAAGTTTATGGTTGGGGAAGCCAGGGATTTCCTACCATATTCCTAATAGCTGGACAACTAAACTACTTCACTGTTTACTTTATGATGCCACATTCATGATATGGCATAGCCTAAACATTTTCTTAAAAGAAAATAAGCCTTAATGAGTTAACCACACGCATGCACAAAAATCCTGCTACCTGCCAACAACCTCAGGCTCTACATTTTTTAATCATGAAATAGTTACTCCTGCCATTACATAAATATTATTACATAATATCTCCTTTGTATGCAGAATTAGAGCTACAATAAAATAGGTCCCACTATTTCAATATTTTATCTATTAATCCCACTCATTCACTTAATAATTTGGAGCTGTAGTTGCATCAGAACACAACAGCTTGAATATGTCACGTTCCTTTGTGCTTAAACAGAAAAGACAGTTAATTCTGGATTTAAAAAAAACAAACAAAACCAAACAAAAAACAAGCCGACAAAAAAGACAACAAAAATAGCTGCTCTACTATAATAACTGCCTGAAGGGAAAGACACCTCTGCTGTGCTCTTTTATTATATGTTTTTGTCTTGCCTAAGATTTAATGTATGTGCACGAATAGATAATTTTCAACATACCATTCAATAAAATATGCAGAAATACCTTAATTCCCAAGGTCAGCATTACACAGCATAAGTGTAAAGAGATCATAAGCAATAATGCTTACTTACTATGCCTAATATCTCAAAAGCGAGGGGTTTTTCCAGTTTAATATTTAACGTATGGGCAAACTACGATACATATTCAATGAATTTCCCTAAGTATTTAATTTGTTCGAAATTTGCTCTGACAACGCATTTGTTCGTATTGGTCAGAAACACGTCTGAGTCGTGAGACGGCTGTAAGCACAAGGCCACAGGGCGAAGAGGCAGTGGAGAAGTGGCATGTGACATTCGGGAGTCTCGGGGGGCAACATGTGGCCGGCGCTCAGGACGCTGCACTGCAGCACCGGTGCCTCGGGCCGTGCGCGCTCCGTGCGGCCACACGAGCCCCGAGCCCCCACTTCCCAAGTGCCGCACAAGTCCCGCTTGTGCCCGTGCTCAGCGGCTTCCCCTCGTCCGCTCGCCCTCCCGCAGCGACAGCTCCCGGGAAGGGCAGGAGAGCGGCGGTGGGCACCGGCAGCGAGGGCGGCAGGGGCCGGCCCCGGTGTTTGCACAGCTGCGCCGCTCTCCCGGGGCAGCCCCGCACAAAGCCCCGGCGGCCCCGCAGCCCCCACCGCCGCCGGGCGGGCGCGGCGCGGCACCCGGGGCAGGTCCCCGCTGCTGGCCGCCGCTGCCCTGCCGTCCCCGCTGGCAGGTGAGACGCGCCGCAGCGGCGGCGCCGGGCGCGGAGGGGGGAGCGCGACCCAGCCACAAAGAGCGGGAGCGGGGTGGGCGGCGGCGGGGCCGGCGCCAGCGCGACCCGCGGCGCCGCAGCGGGGGGACGTCCCCGCCCGCCCGTCGGTGGCGGGGGTCATCCCTTACCTGCAGGGGTGGCGCCGAAGACTCTCACGACGGGCACCCGTTTGGCCGGGGCCTCTCGGAAGCGGGACTGGCAGGGGTCCAGGCCGGGCAGCGGGCTGCCCATGTAGTAGTCGGCAGTCACGATCCGCACTGAGAACATGTTTGTTCGCCGCCGCCGAGGCACCAGCACAGCACCGAGCGAGCGAGCGCGGAGCGAGCGCGGAGCCCGCACGGGTCCCCCCGCCCGCCGCCGCTGCCGCCGCAGCGAGCGCGCGCGCGAGCGCAACACTCCCCGCGCCTGCCGCTCCTCGCCCGCCCGCCCGCGGGAGCGCGCACAGCCCCGCACGCGCCTTGTCTGTGTCTCTGCTCCCCCCGCCCCCCCCCTCCCCCGCCTGATGCCGCCGCTCTGGGCGCGTGCGCGGCAGCGCGCCCCCCGCGCGCTCCTACAGCCCGTGCGGCCGCGCGCCCCTCAGGGACTGCGCGGGCTCGTGCCCCGCGGACGCCCCGGCGGCGACGGCGGCGCCCCGGCCCCGGGCTGCAGCTGCTGTTGCCATGATGATGTCGTCACGGATGCAACCATTGGGGGAACGGGCAGGGGGGTGGATGGGCCATGTGTTGGGGGGGAAAGGGGCTCAACGAGCGGAGGAGGTGTCCGTCACTCTCCGACACACACACGGTCTCCCCCCCCCCACCTTTCGGTTGGGCTCGGCAGGCGGGGCGCGAGCGCGCGTGGGAGCGGGGGAAAAATCTTTCTCTCGCCTCCCCTGGTGGCGACGGAGGAGGCAAGGAGGGACAGAGGGACGGCCTCGGTGATTCGGCGATCGGCCGCGCGGGCTGAGGGTGAGGCTGCGGAATCCCGAGCCGCAGATGGGACGGGAGAGGCAGCGCTGCCGGGACACGACGGGGTTAAGCTGGGTCGGCCGCCATTTTGAATGGCGGGGAGGTGAGTCTCCCCACGCCGCAGGGGCCGGCCAAAAAAAACCCCAAACCCTAAGAAGATGAGGGCGAGGAGGGGGACGGCACCGGGAGGAAGGGGTGGAGCGGCCGCGCTCCCGCCGGCGCCCGCGCGCTCTCGGGCCGTGACGGTGAGCGCGCGCGGCGCGGGAGCGGGGCGGGGCCGGGGCTGCGGAGGGACGGCGGCGATTGGCGGCGGGGCCGGGCGCGCGGAATGGGCGGGGCGGGTGGGGCCGGGCCGGGCGCGCTGCGGCGGAGCGGCGGGGGCGGGGTCGCGGCCCCGCGTCCCTGCGGGCGGCTCGGCCCCGCGGCGGCCGCGTCCCCCCGCTCCCGCTGCCCCTGCTCCTCCGCCTCCTCCGCCCTTCAGGAGAGCTTACTTTGCGGTTTGCATTGCTCTCGTACAGGCTTTTATTGAAAGCCATAAAACAGGCTTGACTTTAGGTTGAGGCACTGAAAAAACGTTGATTTTAGGTTTAACATTCCTGTTGCAGTCTCTTTGTCTGAGAGCTGCGGGTCCGCGGGTAAAAACCCCAAACCATAGCAAATATCCAGAGTTGGCGGTGTGGGAGATGAGCCGGTTAAAAGGCCAAATGCTCTCACATGCACTCAGAGTGATGCTGCTACATGTGCGTGCAGCACTGGATGATACGAGACAAATGTACAAATCTATAAAACCTGACAAACGTCCAATATGTAGAACACATGTTTTGCATTTTGGTTACATGTGTTTTGGGTTTAGATTTGAACAAAAGACAGGTCAGGCAGTTGCTACCCTTCATTTTTTCATTGTAATGAACAGGAAGCTTGCCTGTCTACTCAGGGGTAACTGGTTTCCTACTCTTTCTTTGTAAGCTGTTTATTTTCTCTAGCTCACATCTGTTTTCCTCCTTAAACTCATTTTTATGTGAACAGAAAAAGAAAGTCAACTGCCTAGTCATCAAGAAATCTTGTGTCAGAGAAGTGGTTGAAATAGGGTTGAAATCCAAACTATTTTCACTGTATCTAAAGAAAAACTGAGCTACAACTTTAATTTTTGACAGTTGTTTACATTTGCAAAGCTAATATTTGGAAAACCTTTGGAACTGCAAAAATACTCTTATGAATGCTTAGATTTCACAAAGGCTAATAAATCACTAGGAGCTTGCTGGTGGGGCTTGTTAACAAAGAGCATCTTTAACTATTGTTATTTGAATACATTTTGTACTGCTCCCTCACTACTCCATTTCCTTAATTTTCCATAGAACTTTGGTAGGGACAGTAACAGTTCTTGTGTTACTCCATTGCATGCTCTGTTTACTTTCTGTTCACATGATCTTCTTAACTTGCTGAGCATTGTGTCTTCCCTCCACTGACAGTGTAATGTCTTTGAACCCTGGCAGATGTGGTCTGGTGCCTGCATGAGCTGAGGGTAGGTCAGCAGTTCTCCTCTGTGCTGGGGAGTACTGTATTCTGTTGTATTCTGTTGTCATCTGCTCAGGCAGGAGAACATGATGGTGGATCTGCCCCTCAGCTGGGTTGGTGAATAAACCAAGACATTTGAGCCACTGTGGATTCTGGTTTCTGCTGAATGAGTGTAGTGTGTGAGATGTAGCACAAGTTCATACCTGGGAGTCCTGCTGAAGAGAAACCAGTTGCCCACAGTAGAATAGTGTAGAAAGCTGAAATAACTAACTTGTTAGAAGCATCAAGCAGGATTTACTAAAGCATGTCATGCAGAGTATTCCATTTAAAATGACAATATTTATGTTGTTTATTAAATCAGGGAGAACCATGCTTTGAAATCAGAAAGAACAATTGATACCTAACCTAGTGTCAGTTTCTTGTTCTTATTGAGGTATTAATTTGATTTCTGAAAATGTTGAATGTTACTCTCAGAAAAAAATAAAGTGACTTTCCTTTTTGATGTAAATAGTGTAATCCCAATGTACATTAAACCTGTGCAGACACTTTTGTGGAACTTGCATGCTTTGTGAGTGGTGCCTTTTCCGTTTCCAGTAGTTTCCTGCAGCTCACTTCTGCTTTCAGTTTTGTCTTGCAGTCAGGTCAGTAGGTTTGTCTGCAGGGTTGCACCAAGGTAAGACTGAGTCAGCACTGTCATGGGAGGTCCCCTGCCCTCCTCCTATGTCAGTGCAAGCATTTGATTAGCTGCACAAGAAACTTGGCTTGGAAACTGAGCCAGGTAAAAGCAATCCCACTAAGAAATGGGTTAGTTTTAACCTCCATCAGGTCCTTGATCTGCTTCATTATGTAGGGCTGTGCTTGCACAGAGGAGGAGGCAGTGCAGGGACTGAGATTGAGCAGCAGGAGGAAAGAGAGCACTTCTTCCAGAAAGCTTGGCTTGTGGTAGTTTTAAGTTGCTGAAGTCTGAAAATTGGCTTAACCCTTTCAACAGATAACAGACACAAAGCCTGTTTTTGGATTTCCTACATTTCAATTTGTGTGTCAGTATTTGTTTTTAGGAGTTGTTTTATGTGTTGTTCACTCACATGTGTGTATGCATGTATGATATATAAATTTTCTTGTAGTTTACACTCATTACCTGAAAATGCTGCTGTCCTAGGGTGTCAGTAATTGTAAAAGGACATATCCTGGTCAGACAGCACTACCACTCATTTTCTCTCCAAACACTATATGTTCTCTCTCTTAAGGTTTCATGCCATTTTCTGTTATAAAGCAAGTCACCCCCTTTCTCTGTTCCTCCAGTTGCTAAGCAGCAGCTGTTCTCCCCATTAGCCAGCCAAGTATTTGCATGAAAATAATCACTCTTGAATATATAACTGGTCCTAATCATGCACAGCTAAACAGCTGTACAATCAAAATTTGAGTATTAATAGTATTACTTTTCAGCATAACTGATGACTGTCTTTTAAGTCAGAATTTCTCCAAAGAGAAAAATCAATAAAGGTTTGCCCTGTTTTTTTAAACAAAAGGCATGTCAGTTTTTATTTTTGTTTAATGCTTACTGTGTAGCTACTTTAAAAAACTGGTCACAAAATGATATCTGCAGTTCACAAAAAATTGTAAATGCAAATATAAGCAGAAACAGAATCATCTAGTGACTATACATGATGGAGGCCAAGGGAAAATCCACATTTTGCTGCTATTTATAGTAGCAGAATGCAGCAAAATTTGGTGACAAGAGTTTAGCCTATGACACAAAGGTAAAATTTCCAGCAGTACATCTTAACTTCAAAACCCACTTAGTCAGCCATGTTTGAGTTCCTGTTGATTTCAAGGATGCTCAGTATTTATGAGGTCTGTGATCTGGAATCTTGGAGTGCTCTCTCAGTCAGGGGATTCATCCAAACTGTTATTTCAAAATGAGAGCTGAGTGTGGCTCATATTCTCAGGTGCTGTTTTCGCAGGTGCCAGAAACACAGTTTCTGCAGGGAGAAAACCTGGACACATGCATAAAGAGTTATATGTGGTCTCTCCAGTTGGTATCTCAACCTAGACAGTCAGACTGCCTGCATTACACAGGAAGGTTATTTCCCAGTGTGGCCCCACTGACTGAGTGAATAAAGATCTAAATCTTCACACTGAAATAAATACGTGGTGCTACACTGTGTCGTTCTGGCCTGCCAAATGTGGACTTGCTTTGTCATGTGTGATAGTCCATAGTCTTGTTGGACTCTAAGGCTCCATACACACCCAGGGCAAGAAGTCCTCACATGAGATTTCTGACAAGCCTTGCTTATACTTCCAGGTAGTTAAGCCCACTAAAGCCAGAATTTTAAGCAATACCGCCCATGTGCATCAGACCAGCTGAAAGACAATTACTCTCTGGATGTTATCAGATAAAAATCTAAAGACAGTATGTGAACAGCAAGGAATTGAGCAACCTGTGCATACCAAACTGCCTCAAAGTGGCTCTTGGGCTGCTGAAATAATTGGTAGGGGTAACAGTGTTTTGGAAAGAATGCTTAGGATCCTAATTAATGAGGTGTATTTGTTTGTTTGTCTGTTTTAATTCTCAGTTACTAGGTACAGGCTAGGCAGTAGGCTGAAGTGTAGTCAGTGGCATTACCATCAGTGTCTTGTCACTAGAAACCTGATGGGAAAATGAAACTAGGTCTCAATTATGAAAATATTAGAAGTATCAAAAAAGTCTTTTAGCAAAGACTCTTACTAAACCTCTCTGGGCAAGAACAGTGCCACATGATTGGAAAGTCACAAATGTGCTTGAAGGAGAGCCCATGGGCATCATATGGGACATAGGAAAAAAATTAGGGTATGCAAAGGCATAGAAGTAAAAAAAAAGATATATCTTTGGTGTAGTAACATTAGATTCTGTTGGGGTACCTGTGTATTTTGTAAATAAAATAATTGACAAAATTAAGTCAATTTCACAAAATCATCAAGGCTGAAAGAGACCTTCAAGATCAGCTAGTCCAACTGTCATCCAAGCACCACCATAATCAGATTTAATCTGTGCTTCATATAAAGATTCCGTATAGTGTCATATGAGAAAAGAAGGAAGATGCATAACATAAAGAATTGCTGATGAGAAGTTTTGATGGATTGTTTTGAGAGAAGGACTATAAAATTGGAAGCTGGCTGCAGGTGGAGTCTGTCCATTTAATGTTTTTAGTGCAGTCCTAGTTAGTTTATAAATAAAAGTTACTAATAACTTGAAATTTGAAGGAGAACAGCATATCAAATAAGATCTAGAACTTTGGAGTTAAGAAAGGAGAAAAAATATTTAAGACAAAGAACACTCTCAATGTAGAATGATTAGACATAAACTAGAAATGAACTTTCCATGAAAGAAGGTTTCTATCCAATGGATGAATGGATTTCTTCTCTCAGTGAAAGCAGCAGGCAGAGCATTTCAGTAAATTTTAATATGGAGATTGACAAGATTATGGAAAAGGTTATATGATGTTCGCTGGTTATTGCACATGACTGCACCTGATTATCTAAATTCTAGAAGGACTGCATGTAGATCCCTGAACATTTCAATAATGGGTTCCTCTAATCAATGCAGACAATTTAGCCATTAGGATAAATGAGTTCTCATCATCATTGTACAAAACACATTGTATACCATGAAGATGGTACAGCTTTCTGTTTCAAAAAATCTGGACAGCAGTGCAAAAGGCAACCCTCCTACAACATGCATTGTATCCTTATGTATATGTTCCTATCTGTAAATGAGTTGTATGTACAAACTAACATACATAATCTTTATATGAAAATGAAAACTACCTTTGACCATTTTTGTTTCCTGGGTTGTATTTGCATTTAGCAACTTACATTTCAAACAGTTTTCATTGAAAGTTATCCAGTTATCCTTTTCTTTGTTGTTTTTTTTTTTTTTTTGGTTTTTTTTTTAATAATGATTTTTTTTCTAATATTTTCAGGTCTCACTGTTGCCCTGTATCAGAAGAACCTGCCACCGAATGTGCCTACAGGAAAATGCATAAGTATTCAAGAAAATTATATAAATTGAAATGTAAAAATTAATAAAGAATTATATGTGTAACAATGTAGAACTATGCCACTTTTTGAAAAAATTGAGGAAGTGCAGTTAATTGAGAAGCAGCACATGCATCATGTAAGTAGAGTGCCAGTAAACACTTAATTGTAAAGGTGCAGTTTGCTGACAGAATTCTACATGTCAAGAAGTCATTGAGGTTCCCTTCCATGCTTGGAAAATGACCTATTGTCAAGAGTGAAATAATTATATGATTGTATAAGGAATTCAATTTCGGATAACAAGAACACACATTGTTGGGGTGCAGTTAACGGTATAGCAGTAAGTGACATTCAGAGTTTGCATATATGACAGTGAGAATTTCGTTGATGAAATTTGATTAAGATGAACTCATTAAGTCTTAGATAATTGAGGAATAGTGCTAGAGTGGTTGGCATTGCTGAACCAGCATAATTTTAAAACCTTCTGTCTGTTGCTTTGTACTAATGACTGTAAAAGTTGGGAGTGGACTCAAAAGAGAAAACAGTGTGTAATGGCATGTAACATTTGAGCATTAATACTATTTTGAGAAATGGTATGTTCAACAGATTTACTAGCAAGTAGTGGAGTATACAAAGAAAATTGGTTGAGCATTTGAATAGCTTTTTTTAAAAAAATCAAAGTAATAGGTTTATTTTTACAAGAGAGCTGCCAATCCCTCCATACTCTAAAATTTCTATTCCGCACAATGCAGTTCAGGTAGATGCTTGTAAGAATTGCTTTTAAACAGGAAAGTGAAACATAATTTTTCATATTCTAGTTCTGATGAATAGCTGAAGCATTTAGTTGAAAGTCTCCATTGAGAAATATGTCTGGTGTGAAGACAGTTAGCCCAAATGGTTCAAATAATAAGTAATTAGAAGGATGTCATAATGGAAAATTTTCAAGTGCTACAACTGCCAAAAGCCCTATCATTCTTCTATAACTTGTGTAGTCAAATACACTTGAGTATGTGGTTATTATTTGAATTTTAGTTTTAAAGTGGGAAATGGGTTTCTGTGAATGAATCACAAAAATGGGGCTGGATGGTAAGGAGTGAAAGTAATTTAATTTTAGATGCTGTGTTTTTTTGTGCCATATAGTCTGACTTATGGGAGGCATTCCTCGTTCATGCATCAGACAAAGTGAAAGAAGCACCAGTGCAATATGTAGATCACAAACAGCCATCTGTTATTCAAAAGGAAAGAGGAGTGTTGCTATAAGAGTAAACCTAAAATGTTTTAAGATTAGTTTAGAGATGGCAGAGCTCCATTAAATATTTTGTCCATCTCTGTTGGTCTCTGTCATATACAAGTGTATACATTATACTGAAGTTTCAGATGCCTGCTATATTTTCTTCTATTAGGACAATTACCTCTAGTTTAGAACTCAGTATATGCTTTCTCTGAGTTCCTAAATAAGTATGTATATATAACCTTTTGTCACCCTCAAATAATTATTTTTCCTTCCTGGGGTTTGTTCCTTTGAAATAATTTTCCTGATCAAACTGAATCTTGAGAAAAAAGCATTTTTAACTTTTTACTTGCTTAGCTTAAGCTGAGTAACACTTGTTTAAGCTTGTAACATTTCCTTTTGATTCTTTCCAGCTCCCAAAGAATTTCTGTTATTTTTATGTGAATTCCATCCAATTCGCATAGATCTTTCTTTTAATATGCCTAGAACACATTTGTGATTTCCAGAGTGGTTGTAAAGAGTGTGGATGAAGCATTCATGTTTTATGTCCAGGCAACCACATGACCTCCATTTGTAGGGCAGAATTAATTACTTGGGAGTTCTGATGTTTGGTCCACCACGAGGTTTGAAGGACTCTGTTGGCTGTCCACAAATAAAGCGTTGCACAGTCTGCCTGCAGCCGTGTTTAGAGAGGCCATTGCCTTCCTGCTCCAGGATACACTGCTTCCAAGTGTGCAACCCAAATCTCAATTAGTCTCTTTGTTGGTACTCTTCCAAATCTATTTCTAGTTTCTGCTTACTTGTTATCCTTAGATCCTTTACAAATATGATACCTCTGGGGTATTGCCGTCCTACTGAATATATTCCAGAATCTCTTCCAGAATATTTCTCTCAGTCTTTTCCATAGCAGTAGCTTTCTTTTTCTTGTATTTAATTTAATTTTATAGTTTTCTGGCTGCATTTTAGCCTCACTAATTTATGTTGAAGTATCTCAGTGTCCTCAGAGTTGCCCACATTGTAGCCTCTTGGGGATTAATGAAGCTGTCAAATAAAACAAGGCCTCACAGTGGTTCCTGTGGCACCACAGGTATAGATAAATTACTTCTTTTCCTATATTCCAGTTTTATTGTGAGCCCTGTAATAGTTACTGTTTACTTTAAGCTACAGAATTTTTACACAGTCCTTTGGACCTCTCATTCTGCATTGTAACCTATGCAGCACATCCTAAGAGATTTTTGAGGTTTCATTGGAGTACCATACGCTTTCCAAAAATTGAGTTATGTACTATCCAAAGAGTTGCTTTGGACCCTGTATTTTGTTCTGGCTTTTGGGGGAAGTGGAAGTATTTGTTTTATTGTAAGGTAAATATTGCCTAGTATTCTGCTGTCCTTTAAGGCTAATATTTTCAGGCTTGCTTCGTCTGAAATTGTTTAATGCAATTTCAGAGGTAAGGCTCTTATCTAGATGTTTAAAAAACTAATTTTGTGGCTACTGAAGCCTGTTTTCAAAAGTGTTCATTTACTGAGTGCTTTTTGCTAGTGTTCTTTTTTCCTCAGGACTTGCACTGAAGGGATGATATTATTATGTTATTTTAATATTGAGATATTATTATTACTATGAGAGTGTGCAGACCCCATCAGCACACAGATCTGCTTGAACAATTTGAATTTTGCAAATAAAATTAATTTTAATACCAATGTATTGATCATTTTATGTCTCAAAGCATGAGGGAGGTACCACTGGAAATGCAAAGTGGGGTTTATAAAGTAAATCTGCTAATCTAATGCTGTGTACTAACTGAGGATAGGACAGATTGAAAGGCAAGACACTGTGATTCTGTTTCCAGATTTTGGGGAGGAAAATCATGTGTGCTGTTGATAAACATACATAGTCACAATACAGAAATGGGCCATGTTCTCTCTGGGAGCTGTGCACTTAAGTGACTAGGACTGGATTCTGTCATAATATGGTGCATGTTTCCTGCTGTGTCTTGAATAATCTTGCAGCTGTTTTACTTAGAAAATCAGTGACACTTGTTTTTGTCCAAAAGCAGGAACTTGATGATTTGGCTAATAAGATGAAACAACACTGCCCCCAAAATCTGTGAAGTGACAAGTACTATTTCGTATTCCAGCCTCTTCACACACTCTACCTCCACCTTCCTTTCCCTGTGCTACTTTGTAAGCTGTTTTGTGGAGACAGTATTTTGTCCTGTTTTTCTGAGGACAGGACTGAGGCTTTTGACCTGTTTCATTTTTAATCTCTAATAATTTACTTAATGTGCTTCCATTAGGACAGTGGTTTTTTGAAAGAAAAAAAAAAGTGAGTGAAATTACTAATGCACAGGAGGAAATAGGAAATTATTATGCCATAAAAATAACTTTAAAAGAGTCTCACATTGTTAAGTGAGGGAAGAGAACCTTCTAAGAAGTGATCACATTCTTCAGCTCAGCTTTAGACACATTCTTTACCTTTAAAAGGAAACAGAAGATAATCAGTCAGTAAATCAAGTGTAGTTGCAGGCATGTCTGCAAAGCTGTTGCAACAGTCTGAAATAAGGCATTAGGGCTGGACATTTGAAACAAGAATTGTCAGGGCCAAGGTCTCTTGTGCTTTGAGGAAAATGGGCATGTCTTTAATTAAACAATACCTTTTCTCCATACCCTGATTTTTTTTTCCTTGATCATTGTCTAAAGATAGCAGCTATGGTGGCTATTCTCGGTAGATCTTTAGGTACACATTAAAAATTAGACTGCATTTTTTGTGTAATTAATAAGCTTTTAAAAGCATTCTAAGTTTTTTTTTTTTTTAATATCTATTTGTTTGAAGAGGAAATTGGATTTCTTATGAAAAATCCACCTTTTCTTAGTTGCTGTTGGAGGAAAAAAAATTACCATGTTTAAATACCACATGTTTTAGCTGCCACTATGTTTTATGATCAAGCTTTCAATACCACTAATCTGAGTTTCCCCTCTCTTGCTCCAGCCAGGGTTACTAGTCAGTTCCCTAATTTCTTCTTTTTCTTACTGGCACAGAATTGCTTTTTTTTTTAAGTACTTCAGAAATTACTTATTTTAAACAAAGGAATCTACAGCATCCATGTTTTTCTAGCTTATCCTGAGTAGCTTTAATCTTTTATCATAATTTGAAAGTATTAGCATTTTTTAAATTAAATAGTTCTGTTTAGAAGTAAATTCCACTCAGATAAAGAGAAAATACAGCAGTAGTTGCTAACAGGATAAAGTGTGTTACCTGGAAACATAAAGAGCTACATAAACAGCTTTTTTTCTTGTGTTCTGATAGAAAATTAGATGAATTAGCTTGTTATAGGCACAACTTTTCAGTAAATACTGTATTGTTGTTAGCATTATATTTATGTTCCTAAGAACCCAAAACTTTTTAAGCTTATTTTAATTTAATTGTTTATAAAATTATAACACTGCTACTTCCAAGGTTTAAAAGTTCCAAATTATTTGGTATGAACTGTAGCATTAGAGTAGAATTCACAATTTCCTCCTTTGGATCCTTTTTAATGTTACTTACCATACATTGCAGCTATAGTGGGAAATGAAAAGGGCTGCTGAAACCACTGCATCACCCTGCTGTTCCTGACCACTGTGGGAATGCTGCTTTGGGTGGCTCTTGCTCTTATGGTCCCAAACTGCCCCCCAGCATGCTGGCCAGGTGACAAGTAGGCTGGTATTCAGGTTTGTTCCTGGGGATCATTTTACTAAATCAGATTTTTAAAATGTGCCAGTTTGCCAAATTCAGAAAAAGACCTTTAGGGTTATTCAGTTTCATTGATTGATTTCTTTTCCATGTTCTTCAAATAGAACCAT